TTTTTGAATACACCATATGTGAACGGTAAGAGCCTAGTCTCATCTGAACACATTATCCTACTGAAATTAGTCGGACTTAATCTGTTGCTCGATGGAGCGAAACTCAACGATCATGGTACTCTGCCATGCGCCACGCGTTTCATTCCGAACGTTACATCCTACTTTGATTCTGCCAGTAGTTAATACGCGATGCTGAAATAAAAGATAGACTAGAACAGTTCCTCGAACTGCAACACGCGCGAAAAAATGCTGCTCGTGAACACTTGGAAAAAGAGATGAACATGTTTGCCCCAGTGTCCGTTTCTGACCGGGGAACGTGTTAGAAAGCATCCGTGATCGACGTTCGGTCATCATCATTGTCAGCTGTAAGAACCGCGTACAGTGGTTGTAGCTGCTGCAGTTTCGTTCACCGATGATTTGGGGAGGTGCGATAGGCAGCTGCGCATTGAAGGCGACAGCTGATGAATTGCTGCGTTAATACAGGACTTTCAGTAGACTGTTAAGTGGGGGATTTGGAAGGTAGCTGTGAACTGAGGGCAATAGCGCGAACACCACTGAGGGTGCGGCTGGATTTATGCACGAATTTAGCAGCTCCTGCCTCCAATTCACAGCTACCTACCCCCACCCCCCAAAAAAATCATTGGTTTAACGAAACTGCGGCAGTTACAACCACTGTATGACAAGTATACGGTTATTACAGCTGACAATGATTGTGACGATGTCTTTCTGACTTGTATGTCGTGTGTACTGTCTGTTGAACGGGCTGGCCTGATCAATGGAAAAATCAACAACTCATGAGCGAACTCGAAGGCCTCACGTAAAGCCCCATTTAATTCCTGTGACAAACACGCAAACAATCAGACGTTTGCGAAAACATGTTTCTTCTAGTTTGTGCCTATAAATACTCAGATAAGAGACAATATGTTCCCGCAGGACTGTACCTTTGTGGAAATTCAAACGTTTGCACTAAAAACTGAGAAAAAATGTGCTTCAAAAATGCACTTCTATTAGCTGCGTTGTCAGATCTTGTCTGTTTATTTACGATCGTCAAGCCTTGATTAATCCTGTTATTAGAAAACCTGAGTGAGGTTATTTACCACAAGATAACAGTGGCGATAGAATCGTACACTCCAGTCGTTCTTGGCCAAAACTTTGTTGAACAAATGAAATCGAATAAACACCAAGAAAAACATGAGGCGCTCCGGTTGTGTAATCTTCAAGAGTCAGCTGCTAAAAGACTTATGGTGTTTCCGCGGCACATTCATTTGTTCAATTCCAGTGTGGGCGAGGCCCAACGCATCTGAACTTCAAGCAACCTTACCATTTAATCGCTCGCCTCGTATTCCATACATCCTGGTTTCAAATCCCAATGAGATCAACTATATATATCTGATTTGGTCGAAAATCAAGTTAACTACTCCCCTGCCCTGATAGTGACCACCCAGAATTATCCTTCTAGGACTGAATGGGGAATGTACCTAGAAATAATACCTCTATCGACAAACAGAAACCACTCTGGTTCTGATAAATCAACTCATGTATACAGTCGCACTAAAGGTTTGTTGTGCATAAGTCATCAGTGTATTTGAAATGCGAGAGTAGCGGTTGTTAACCATTGTTAGAAGTAATAATATGGAATCAGAATCGACAAAATCGGTGCAGATCATACTAGCGCTATTGTGTAGTCTCTGCCGTGGGATCGTCATAAAGTGCGCGATCATCGAAGTCGCTCAAGAATGTCAAACGTAACTCAAGCAAAGGAATGTGCGCGAGCATTCCCTCAAAGTGACCCGACATAAACTGATCAAACGAACTCTGACCGAGAAGTATAAACATTGATCAATCAATTTATCATCTATAAACCGTGTGCCATAGGCATATCAGTTGCTGCTGGAAAATGGGAAAGTAGAATACAAAACCAAGTCTTGGAGGCGAAGGCATGCTCAGTTTGTTCGGAAATTGGGTAGCTACTCATTGAAGGCGATAGCTTTGATGCACGAGCGCCACTGACTGCGCTTATCGGCCAGCCACATTGCTAATGAAGTTTACTCTCTAGGCTAGTGAGCGGTGCAAGACAGATCAGCAGCTGACATGATAAGATCCAACTAACATGATAAGATCACAAACCCACGAAGAGGGTTATAAACATCTCATAATCACCAACGCAGTAATGATCGAATAGACCGATCTGATCACCGTCCACGAGCACATTAGTTGTCAATCCTCTGTCGATTGAATACTGACAGCACTAGTTGGAGTCCTTTCCAGGTTCAATCCAGTCGAGCAGTCCCAACTGAGACACAGGACGGTCTTTGTGCAACACACTTGGTTGATGGTTACCACAAACGACAGGCCCAATGTACATTTGGAGTTCCCCATAAAATCAAGCTAATAGGTGCACCTTTGCCCTATAATGACCGCATTTCGCGACGCTGCCGTTGCATGCACGAAGACCATTTCTCGCAGCTATACTGTCCACATGGTAAGCTGTATTTGTTCGCACATCAGCCGAAAACGCCTGGCTGTCTGATCTGTTCAGTTGGATAACTGACCTTTACTTTGACCGGAGCTGTGATGCACTAAATCGAGATATAACACTAATCGACCAATCAGATGGCTTACGATGGGTGACATCGGGTCGGTCAATGAACGCCTCCGAGTGCACCTATCATACCTCAGTTGAATCGACTTTCGCGGGCATTTGCCCCCTTTTATCTCGCGTCATGCACAAACCTACAGGTGACGTCGTGTACGTTTCAAAATCGCACGTACTCGAGTGTTCAACGTAAGTTTTCTCTCAGTGAAGAGAATAAGCAACAGCAGGTAGCCGTAGGGGGCTTCCACCTGAAGCCTTAGTTTACTTTACCGTGAATAGGTTGCAGCGCCAGGGCACAACGGCTCGAATCGACTCTACACACGTGAACAGCGCCAAAGCATAGCTATCGCTTGAGAGTTGATTGTGCACAAGAACAACAAAACCACTGAATAACCATTTATCCCAGCACTGTTTGGGTAACCGTAGCAGCTGTAAAAACCAACCAGCACCAGACGAAACCACGTCCAGACCCACAGTACAACACCCAACCAGAAGCAAGTGTGAACAGCAGTCCCCAATACATGAGCCTGTTGCAGATTTTTTGCCAGGTTGACTTCGGAATGCAGGGATAAAAACGCATGCTTCCCCGAGTAACGACTTCTTGATTGGAAGTTTCATTTGTCCTGTGAAGTTATTCTTCCCCTGAGCTACACACCACCAACAATCTTTAGGTAGCACAGAGGATAATTTCACAGCAACAGTGGGACTTACATCTGAGAAGTTATCACTCGAAGAGCCAATCAACATGTGATGTGGATCAACCAATCAAAATCGAGTGAATAAAACTTACAAGAGGACTCTGGACAAATATTCTCATTTACATAGGAATTCGGTTGACAATAGTAAGCTGAATCTGATAGTTGAGAGAAACCCGGGGATTGCACCTAGCTGATGAGCCCCAAGAAGGGCTAAGTCGGTCGTGGCCTGTCGAGGAGGTTTCAGTAACCTTATGAGTAGTGTCATGTTTAGAGGAAGACCGTTTTCCGTATCATCTCCCCAACTCCACTCGTCTCGATCATGTGGTGAATATAAAAGAAGCAGCCCCATTCGGTATACGCGTGTGATTGAGTTAACGGATGAAAGGTGGGACAATGAATTTTCTAATTATCAAGGACCAGCGTAATCTAGCAGTTGATTCTGGGAATCAACCATCGCCCTTTGCTTCAGATACTGACACGCAGGTGTGGCTAAAAGCAAGAAATATGACCTAAACAAACCAGCAGCCTCATGTAGACAGAAGCCAAAACATTTGTAAAAGTGTTGAATTTGCGCTTCCCTTTATACACATCCGAAAAATATTCCATCCCACCAGGACGAAATTACGTGAAAACAAGTTAACGATGCCTAGAAAAAAACTAAGTAGATTTCGGCAGACCTCAGAATCTTTGGGAATACCAGATTCATAGAGTGATATGGATAGTTCGGTAACACTTGCATGTTGGAGGTTGAACAAGATCACACATCCAATCTCCTCATCGTGTACACTTCGACATCAACCGATATTTTACTCTACTAACACCCGCTATTGTAAGAGAATACGGGAGAATAGTACGAAAAGTATTCTTCCCTCTACAAATGAGAAATGAACAAATCCAAAACTCTTTGTAGTGTACTACTCATAAGGTTGCTGAAAATTCATCGACAGCCCACGACTGGTCTCGCCCTTCTTGGGGCTCATCAAATAGGCGCAGTCCCCGAGTTTCCGTCAACCTTATGTTCTACTTGCAACCAAATTGCACGAAATTAGCGAACATACACTCTCAGGCAACTGATATCTCGAATATCGTGCGGCCTGGTGCAGCACATTCGGTTGTCTGAGAACATCATAAACGAGAGATTTTGCTGGGTTCCAGGTGAGTCTCTCGAAAGAACCAAATTAGTTTGCAAATGAGTGCATATTCGCTAAATCCAAAACCTCTTTGGAGGCGAGTTACGCTTACCAAGAGGTTCTGTCTGACAGGGACTAGCTGTATAAACCACGGCACACGACCTGCGATTGCCTATAGTTTGAGGGGCTGAAATTTGGCTCGACCTCTTAAGCATCCATTGCGAGTGTGAATCTTTAAACTAGGTCTGAGCCGCGAGGAAATATCGAAACCAATCCACGTTTATGTCCCATCAAACACAAGTTAAAACGTACCCACAATCTACACTGGTGAACGCTGAGCTTACGAATCTGTGACCTCCGATATTACTCAGAAAATTGGAATTCAACACTAAGGTGTATCGATAACTAACGTTCATATAGGGATTAGAATCACTGTGCTACGTTACTTCGGTCTGAGTCAATCGGAAAGAATAACCGGAGTGTCTAAGCCAGATACGAATGAAGAAGGCGTTGGATCGAGATCGATCGAAATATAAATGCAATTCGCAATAAATACAAAAAACTCTTTGATAGACTCGGACATCTCATGAAGTTGGTGATCCGCCATCTGGAACGAATGGAAATAGAAAAGAAAACAATCTAGACAGCAAAAAACATCATTCGGATCAGAATCAGAGAAAGCTAGAACAAAGTTCACATTCAAAGAATCGTTCGATTGTGCGCCGTATCAAGCAATACGTGGGAATGACGAAGATGATGCATTAGTGGACCATCAAGACCTAGAGAGCAGTCATGGAGCAATTGCGTATCAGAGTGTAAGTTGGTCTTGGACTAAAAAGTACTCGACGTCTGTGAAATCAGTAGAAATGGTTGTAGCTCAATCGGTGTAATGAATAGTCAGGCGTAAACGGTATAGTAACAAACATAGATGCCCAGAGTGCCTCAAGAGCTATCCAACTCAACGCACACAAAAAGGGCTTTTCGTGATACAATTCGCCTCTGGGAAACCGACCGAATTGGTTTCAGGAACTGACGCTACCCCAGCGTCATTACGAACACACAACGAACCGATCCGTACAATTCTGGCGCGACATAACTGCTATCGCCCTGAAACAATCACTGGCTATTCAAAATCAGATATATCGGTCGAAATTTTACAGTAAGATACGTCACTCCCTAAGAGACAAATTTGCACGTGCAAGAAGGACAAACTCTGTTGTAGGTGGTTGCATTTGGATTTGTGTGAAAAAACTCAGCTGTAGCACCTTTCCGGTGCCTAGGCCTTCCGAAGGAAGCACGAGGACACTGCCAAGTTGCCCAAGCCTAGACAGGAGAATTCGAAAGGGGGCCCGGCCCTTCCGGTCAATGAATTCGCGTTCTAACCACTTGGGCCGTTTCACCCCCTGGGCACTACGTACACCCAGGTGCACAATTCTGCGCTATCCTTGAGAACATCCTTCTTTTTAGAAAAGTGAAAATTCAGGTGGAAAAAACAATTTCTACGCTCAAACAACTGCTTTTACAGGTAGTACGGAATCCGAAACGACTTGCTCCGATACTACTTCTATACGTGGAACTCTTTTGTAGAGGCTGACGGACCCCGATTGGATTATGTACTGCGTACAAAGTGCCAGCAATGTGATTCTGCTTCACATTTATTGTGACCATTTGAATATCTACAACACGGATAGTGTTATATCTGCTTATTCGCCAATCTGTGGTTTCTCCTGCTGACATGCTCCAGTGCCCAGTGCCTGAAAAAATACTCGCAGGAAGGAACACAACCGCTATATTCCGAACAAGCGAGTGCGAGAGGGTGAGTGCGTGCGAGTGTGAGAGCAAAAGTTACAACGGCCCCACGCTCTTTAAAGGGGACTTTTCGACATTGATCCAGGCTGTCGGATAGGCGTTAGTGAACACCCGTCAACACCGATTGTGTCTCTATGATGTGCCTGAACGCTGATCACATTCGGTTATGCTTCTGTGGCGTGCATGAGGACTCATTGGCTTTTGCTGAATTGATTGAATGATTGACTGGCCTGGATGGTTGCCGGCTTTCCTGTTGAGATTCTGGTGGAGCAGTAGGTTCCGGGCGTTCTGAGGTTACTTTCAGGAATCTAACCTTCCTGATAGATAGCGTGTAAATCGTTCAGGTGTAGCACCTTTTCAGTGCCTAGCTGCTATGTAAATGGAAGGAGGCATGATGTCTGGAATACTGCCAGGTTGTCTAAACCCAAACAAAAGCAGCCGAGATGCTGAGGCTGGGTTCGAACCACGGACCTTCCGGTCTGTAAGCTGGCTTATTAACCACTGGGCCATCTTGAACCCGATGGCGTGTAAATGCAGTTTTCCACTCAGGCCCACATCAACCAGGTAGTAGACTTCACCTCAGCAACTCTCCTTGGATACGTACAATGTGTGGGGATCTTACAACACCTCGTGTCTAAAAAACTAATGATGATTTCGTGAATGGACATGAAAGAGAGTGATGCAGTTCATCAGTCCACCATTCGCACACGTGAGATAAGGCTACCTAACTATTCACAAATGACTTCAAGAGGAACCGGGCGTTTTCATCTGGGTGTGCGAAAGGGCCCAGAGATTTTCTGTGCTGTTCATTGCTTCGAACGTATGATTCTATCGGTTAAAGGGTGTGCAGAGGAAGACCGGAGAAAAACGGGTGCAGTAACACAACTCTCACGCAAAGGTCGATTGGAATTCTTCGAAGTGAGAAGCGAACCCGAAGCCTAATACAAATCTATCCAAATTAAAGGTGCGAGCGTGTTTTAACCGAAGATTCCCCTACTCCAGAGAAAAGATTTCATACGGGAACAACTGGTAGTTGAAATGGGGGAGTGGCTAACAAGCGGTCATCCTCAAAAACGGCAGAGGGCCAAGACCTCCAGACCAGACATCCATAAATTGTTTGGCTTGTAGAAGTGCTCAACTCGACAAAGTCAATTCTCAATTCAGCGAGAAAGTTAAGTGACAAACAGAGGACTAATCAACTGATGTAATAGAAGAAAGTCCTGCAGATATCGTTCTATCCGTTTACGTAAGTTTACGCGCAAGGTCACACATTGGTCCCTTGAAGCGCTTTTGACTAGTCAAGTACTCGCAGGTAGGACCTAAATAACAGCGCTAACAAGTTCGCGTCATTGAAAACGTGTTTTGCAGCATTTCAATAAATCGCACAAGTTTTTCACCCGATTAAGCTACCCAGCAAATAGGTGGTAGGGTAAGCGCCTTGTAACCAAGTGAAGCACTCACCGCAGATATCAGCTGATCGTACGATCGAGCAGTGACTCAAGGGCAATCACCAATAATTACTCCGATAGACCAGTAGTTGTGGTCATTGAGCTGGGGTCAAGTTTCCTTCGTTTTGCCGCCTCAGACTGATGAAAAACGATCCTAAATATGGATTCATTTGAACGAGAAATGTTAGTGTCACAGCTACAGTCGACCAGAGAATTTTCAAAACATTGGTATTATTATGTGCATGACATGACATGGATAACAAATAAAGAAAACGAAGAGAGAGAGAAGTTTATTCATCAATGGTATTCACTTTAAAGATGGGTTGCCAATCAAATGGCAAGCGCCGGAAACAAATTCTAACACAACCAAAACATCTTTGAAATTGTTACGGAAGAACTTTTCAATTTGTCATCCATTCAGAAGACGCCAAAAAAGGGACAGTAAAAAATCAACCAGGAAACCTATCACAATCGATACGAACGTCACCTTGTCAAGACTATTACATTCAGCTATTTTCTCCACCACAGACACGTCGCGATCCTCGTCAACGAATAACCATTGTTAGTAGAACGTTTGACACCTTCCTTAGTTCAGCCTGTTTGTCGTGTCGGCTTATGCCCCGGTGTTAATAGAACGTTTGACACCTTCCTTATTTCAGCTAAATGATACCTACAACTGCAGAATCCTATTCAAGGAGGAGAGATGAGTTTTACACAATAGGTAGTTTTGTGAGCGGCGATATCTGCCCGAAACTCCGTGGACTGACATGGGCCGACAAATTGACTTGGTGTATCATGGAAACTTATACACCATCAACCCATTGTTGACCAAATCAATCCAACGATTATTAGAACACTGCACGTCAAAGGGATTTTCAGAGACATCCGAGTCGACCTTAAGTTGCTGTGAGAATCGATATTGTAGGGCTGGTATCCTGATGCTGTGGGGTAGGGGAAGCCTGTCCACACATTCCTCACGAATGATCCCCGAAAACATTGTGGTCAAGCACGATTCGGTTTCGAATAGCATGTAGATTCATGAGATTTCCATCAGCATGTAGACAGATGGGTTTAAGTCACTATCCACCGGTATCATGGAACGGTCGCGCATAAGGTACGCATGGGAGCTAAAAGTTAGATCGGTCATGCTAACCACGTTAGGACTTCTCATGCAATAGCCTCTCATAGCTACTTCATGTTCCAAGATGCCCTTCGTAAACTCAACTATACCAATGAGCCCAAACGTCAGCTGAGCCCTCGATTGGAACGCTTGACAAACACATCTAGTAGGGCCTAGAGACGCCGGAAACCAATGATTCCAGTTCAAATGAACTGGGTTCAGATGGGGTTTAATTCCATAAACAAAACCTCCATGAAGAGGATGTCAGGCTGCTCGTGTTAGTAAGCCACATATCCATTTAGTTTGTGGTTTACAATTCGCGGTTTCAGTCAGTCACGGATTTTTCCCAAGAACCTAGCTAAACGTTGCTCGCAGACAGCCTAAGAATATTTCATTAAATAGGACCATGACTTGTTACCTGCTCCTTGCTAATTACGATTACCGGTACGAAGGAAAACTATTTACGATCAACACGAATGAGCGGATTATCACTCAGTTCGGGGAAGATTTCATAAATAATACTTGGAAAGCAGAACCGACTAGTCCATCTGTCACAGATGGCCTATTTTTGCGTCAGATGCTTAGCCGCAGGCTTACAAAAGACGGTAAATTGGTTATTTTCATAAAGGAAACTACTCACAAGGTTGCTGAAAACTCTTCGACAGCCCACGACCAGTTTCGCCCTTCTTGGGGCTCATTAGGTAGGCGCAGTTCCCGAGTTTCCGTCAACCTTGTGTTCTACTTGAACCCAAATTGGACTGTTTTGGAGAAATACACTCATTCGCAAATCAATTTAGTTTTCACAAGAGACTCTACTGAATCTCTCGTTTATGATATGTTACAAATGAATGTGCTGCACACAGGCCGCCTCATGTTTCAGTTGGCACGATATTCGAGATATCGCAGTATATTTTCATAAAGAAAACAACTCACAAGGTAAATCGGTTGTTTCCAGCACCGTAACAGCACTCACGTTTTTTTCTACGAACGCCTAACAGTCAAAAGAATGTCGTAGGGTGAAGGACTTCGGCTGAATTCAATAGGAGGCTGTACAACATAGTCAAACAGTCCAACACTACGCGACTGTATCTTTGAGTTCGAGGACAAAACTCGACCTTGTTCTGCGAGGCCGAGAACATGATCGTTTGGCCACTTGCGTGTGTCGAGCTTCGATCCATCGGCCAAGTTCTAACCTTTACCTGACGCTCATCATCATCATCATCGACAGCATGACATCAGTGTTCAACACTGATGCTTCACTGCCTGACGCTACCTATGATAGAGCAGAACCTGAAAGTTTCTTCCTCTCTGGTGAGCCAGAAACTAGCAACCAGGCTAGAATCGAAAGAGTTTTACCATTTATTGTCCACTAGTACTTACCAAGTAACCGCACAGCCATGTACTTAACAGTGGAGCTTCAAGAACAGAGACTGGGTTAGTAATGCACTACTCATAAGGTTGCTGAAAATTCATTGACAGCCCATGACCGGTTTCGCCCTTCTTGAGGCTCATCAGGTAGGCGCAGTCCCCGAGTTTCCGTCAACCTNTAATATAGTAAGGCCGTCTTCTTAGGTTTATCTGGTAACCATTGTTTTGTAACCTGATATTCTGAACCGCCCCATCAACAACCCATAACGGACTCAACGAATAAAGGGCGCACTTAGCCTTGCTGGACGTTCAGGTTACAACTCCTTTCTGTTGTGTGATTGTGTATTCTTAACGAGGCGTTAGTATTAGCTGCTGTACTGCCAGTACCTTCTCTCCTGTGATAACCTTCTACCCGTGTTGACAGAGAATACACCCGCTCGCAGAGCAGGCAAGGTGAGATGGAACCATAAAACATACCGTTTGGCAGCAGTCTGTGGAGATGGGAAAGCCGCTGGACCCTGTTCCGGACCCAGAGTCAGTGCCAGACGCTTTACTTCTTCTGTTGTGATTGTATGAGATGACACCGACGTGTTTGTTTTTGTATGCCCAGTTTCGCACCGACTGCCTGTCAGAACTCTGGTACGTAAGCAACGAGGCACGAATGATCCGACATTCAGTGGTTGGTGATTCTGTGTGGAAGGAGAGGGTTTGGAATCCAGTATGGGGTCACGCTGTCCACTTTTAGAGCTGCTTTGATACGGTTTCCAGCTTAGAGCTTGCATTACCGCCTCTGGCATGGGACGCCTGCAAAAAGGGAATGCAAGCACTGTAGAGTGCGAAAATCGGGGGTCAAGCTAAATACTGTACAGGTATCACAAAGAATTTATTTACCTTGGATAATGGCTACGGTGAGGTTCCTCAGATGAGGAAGAAGCAGTCGTTACAGAATTGCACGTAGGTGGATTATCCAATTCTGTGGTGAAAGTCGAACTGATCATAAAGGTTGCGCCAAGTCGAGACCAATGTCGACGGGAATCGTCGAGGGCATCACCGGTAGGTTTTAGGGCCGTTAAATTCAACGAAGAACCTTCAGAAAAAATCGCTGAGTCCGTAAGAGGAGGCGTCGGCTTGGGTGTGAATGCGAGCGATTCGACCACGGGATCAGATGGCTTAGAGGAAGCCACACCTGTAAGCTCAGGTGGTTTCAGAAACCGCTGACTGTATTCATGGTCTATGGGCGATAAGTATCAGGGAGAAAAATAGATGAGAAAACACACAGAAAACCTCGGTGGTGACATTCGGCTTGTCCAATAAAACGGCCTGTGACCAAGTTTACTCAGATTACTCACATCATCAAGCTTTACAGCATTACATGATGTGTAAAACTGGCGCGGGGAAAAGAGGACAACTGGAGGTCACGACCTATATCCTTCAGGTGTGAATTTACTAGACGGTAAGGAGAAAAATAACGGGAGAAACAACTCTGCAAAGAAGAACCGGGGTCTCGACCCAGAGATATTCGAAGTGACCAAGTGTTTTGCTTTTGAAAACAGGCCGCCTAGTCAGACAGCAACTGATGTACACACTCGGTAGAGAGTTTTGGCTGGAAAAGTAGTATTTCGTAGATGATTTAAAAAGTGCAAGACCTGCTTTATTTTCGAGATGCTTATAGTCCAACCATTTATGGCTCAACTTTCATTTCGCGCTGTGGTGCTCTCTTGCTCTGGCTACGCCGAACTAGTCATTGAAAACGGGGCTCACTCCGACAAACGGTAACAACACGTGTAACAAGTGACCAAGCCACTACAACTGGTAATTACATTTAGTAGCGCGGTAAAGACGTTAACCAAGTTGACATTTGCCGGATCTAACCAACGACAGAGCGTCTAATTTATTCTGTTCACATTCTGGAATTGCGATTCATGCTTACCGGAGCTTTGGTCTTTGCAATTCGTCTTGGTCCTAGGTAGCTTGGTCATCGAAACGTCAGACCGAAGCACTCCTTTCTGAATCGGTGTTTTTCCTTCTTAGTGTACCGTCATTTTCGGAAGCCAGCGACGTTGGTTAGAATACGAGCCCGAGCACCGAATAGTGACGGCTAACGTGGATTGGTCAGGCAATGCATTGGACCCGCACCTCAAGCTCCACTAAGATTCTCACCTAACTGCTTCAGTTTCAAGTGGCCTGTTCGAGTGGAGATAATGTGACAAGTACTGAAACTAATTTAAGTCAATGTTATCTCAGGTGGTAGTCGTTTTTTATTCAAGTTATTCTCATTCGTCGAGAGGGGGGAGTTGTTTTGAAGGAATCTACGAAATCTCAACCTCCAAAAATGCACTCTAACGTTAATCGACTCCCACTGGAAAGCAGATACATATAGAAACTCAAAGTGGCGAAATCTTGGAAACCAAATGAAACGCGAGAGACAATCCACAACAGATTTCTCCCATGGTATTTTAGTAATGTAGTTAGAAAAACGCTTTTGGAGTCACCGGGCTAACGAGAACGCCACTCCTCAGCACAGTGTCATCGCCCTACAATTTTCATCTGCTGAACGAGTGGATTGAAATTGGTATACAATGTTTACTGAAGACATCAGAATGATGTGCTGTGAACTATCATGGAGAAAATCACACCAAAAAATTTAAGTCAGCTACAGAAGAAACGAACTGGAGTGAAAAATCGATGATCGAGTGGAATGAACGTCGATGCCTTGGGTGATCAAGTTGCTAGGAAATTAAGAGAAAAGTTTAAAAAAACCGGTGGCGCTTTCAGGTTAGTGACAATGTTCATTTGGTGCCTCGCAATCGCAACTTTTCCCTTCCTTACCGAACAAGGCGACAAAAAGTGGCACCATGACACATTGGTGTCTGGACTATTATGTACCTGATGGCACCAGAAAAATCTGAGCGAACCGTTCCCCTAGCAAACGGGTTAATCGCTTGATCGAATAATGACAGGCCCCTAGCTAGATCATACTGAAGGCAGGTTTCCCGTCTGCATTGCGGAGAGAGACACGCGCTGTCAAGCATGAGCGCACTGAATAGTTAAATGCTAGGAAGCTCAAAGCAAGCTAATAAAAAGGCAAAAAATTACTTACCCGCTTTTCGGGCGACACGGGCATTGTCTCGACGGCAAAGATATAATTTGACCCGACACTCGGCCACAGTTTCATACTCAGGAGCATAACATACGTGCAGCTGTCCTCCGTAGAAGTTGGAATTATCTAAAGAGCGCTTAGCTCTCCTAAGTGGACATAAAAATATTCAGGAAAATACTGGCACTGGTAGCAGACTCGACAATGAAGAAAGTAACACCGGAGGGACAAAGACTTACCTATGAGCATAAACGACTGACAGTTGCGGCAGTCGTAGACTATGGCATTTTGTTAAGCAACTAATTAAGTTTGAACCTGGGTGGTACCTGCAAGTGGTAAGCGACAACGGGTTCAGAGAATGTCAGTAACATGGCTATCTACATCAAAGAGGTGATGTTGTATTTTCTTTCGCAATGTCTCTGCGGGTTCCGATTTTCAGCTTCCATGGTTTCAGCTGTAGCACTATTTCGGTGCCTAACTGCCATGCCGCCGGAAGAAATCACGAGGGCTGGGATAGTGTCAGGTTGCCCAAGCCTAGATAGGGGAAGCCGAGAGGCGGAAATCGGGTTTGAACCACAGACCTTTTGGTCAGTAATTCGCACTCTAATCACTGAGCCATCCCGCCCCAGCTTTCACGGTGAATGATGCCCAACTGGCATAAGTGTTTAACAACTAGCCATCCCGCCCCAGCTTTCACGGTGAATGATGCCCAACTGGCATAAGTGGCGTTGCTCAAACAGCACCATCCAGTTCACACACAATGAAATCTGCCTGTCCAGTAGAAGCAAAGAACTAAAGGAACAAACCACGTGAAAATAGGAATGAGATGTGGTTTGGTGGAAAAGCCTAAACAGATCAGGCAGCCAGAATACTATCAGCAAGTCATTCGCTGTAAAACTGGATGGCGCAAAGGCATGAAAATAACATGCCACCTCAGTAGAGCGGTGTTGATGTCAAAAAATCATTAACCTGGAGTTGACGAATACATTCAGACGATCATACTATGATTCTACGCTTGCAGTAACAGACAAGTTACTCTGATTAGTGCTCTTGTGATTCACGAGACATTCCGGTATAGGCGTTCTGATGCTTCTGTTGTCGGTTGTTGATAAATTAATCTGCAAGATTGTTTCGTTCAGCTATAGCACTCTTTCGGTGCCTACTTGTCATGCTACCCGAAGGTTGCACGAGGGCTCGGATACTGCCAGGTGGCCCAAACCTAGACAAGAGAAGTCGAGAGGCAGAGGTCAGGTTCGAACCACGCGCTCTAACCCCTTCCCTTGGACCGCTCCAACAAACACCTAGTCTGTTAGTGCATTCGATTATCGTGCGAATACGTCTCAGCCCCATACTTTGCGTTCTTACATTACATTCTGTTTCTTTTCGCGTGACTGTTGAACACTAGCCGTTGTCTGCACGCACTCTTCACATGCTTCCTTAATTTTAATGCACTGCAGCTGCTTACCATGGACTTTCGTTGCCCATCGCTCATTCCCACCAGAATCGACCGACCTATTCTACAAGTTCTAGAAAAGTTAAGGTTCCCTGTGCAGTTAAATCCTGAGAAAAAAACATGAACCGAAACAATGTAAAAAAGCTGAGAAGAAACACACGCATAGCGCGTTCGCAACGCTGTAAAAGAATACGTCCACACCTTGCGATCTGGACCGACGGGAATTTCACCAAAAACACATCAGTGAACTCTTCCTTGTCTGGGTATTCCGACAGTTTGATGATTCGTTCAAGTGTGCCGAATCGTTTACATCTATCCTTGAGCGCTTGTTCCAGATCTATTGAAGGGACTCCGAACAAAAGCAGATAAGTTGATTCCGTGGCAATCGTATAAACCTGGGGAAATTATAAAATCGACACACACACCTCCACCGCCTTCTTCTGACGGCCATCTCGATAGGCGGGACGACTGAAGCAGGGTCCAACTTTGGCGTGATGAGAATACGTACGTGGTGGAGGTAGCACGTTCATATGCTAAGTATTCATTACTTTCACGATGAGACGAGGGATAGTTACACAGGTTTGGGGAGCTGCTAAAATGAAAGCCGTAGGGTAATTCACGTCGTAGAAATATTTAGCCGCTCCTCTGACAAGACGCCAAATAGATGGTCAACTGATGAAAATCGAATACAACGGGTTACGAATTCCTAATGGCAGTCAGTGTTGAATAATCGTGAAATAGATGTAGCCTCGACTTCAGAGTCCAAGCAAAGTAGCTATATGGCAATGGCTCATTGTTCCTGGAGTAAAGGTTATATAAGTAGTGAAATTTTAACAAAGAACACTCACGAAGGATTTACGTTCAAGTATTCTTCTGGAAAATTGCTTGAATTACGTCGTTTTTGCGGAAATGTTCGGCCGAACAGCTTAGTCTGCTGGCTATGATCTATAATCTTTAACGTCATCAACAGCAACACCAGCGAAGTAAACTAATACTTCACTGTCGTGCATTTAATTGAGTAAAGCCTTCTCATGGCAAGAAAGATGGGACAGGAAAAAACCTAGTACTAACCCACCACAAACAACCTGAGTTCCTACAAATCCAGCATTCGGTGAGAAATTCTGAAGAGTAGCTGAGAGCATGAATGCCAATGGCAACAGTACTAAGTGTTTTTAGTGTTTTTGGTCAATCTCTCTACACGCGTTTGACGTATTTCGTGAACATTTAAAAGGTTAGATATTAACATCGCATGCGAATCGATAGGACTGAAGAAACTTGAATCGGAGGCTAATTCCACATTGTTGGTCGGAACTGGTCCTTTACAGGTAGCGAACAACTGTTGCTGCCATCATGGTGGATATGTTAATTGATGTTGGAGAACTTCATTTCGGAGATGACTAGGTTCTCTTGAAGCTCCAGATAGCTACCCATCATCATTGTCAGCTGTAATAACCGCGTACTCGTCGTACAGTGGTTGTAGCTGCCGCAGCTTCGTTCACCGATGATTTGGGGGCGTAGGTAGCTGCACATTGCAGGCGGGAGCTGATAAATAGGTGCATAAATCCAGTATTGTCAGTGGGCTGTCAAGTGGAGGGGTTGGAAAAGGAGCTATGCACTGAAGGCAATAGCTTTGATACACGAGCGCCATTGAGGGTGCGACTGGGCCATGTCTGACAGGTAGCTACTGGACGCCAATAGCCCCGTAAATTAGATGAGGACGTAGTTGTCACCCAGAAGGTCTACCTCTTCTCGACAGAAGTAAGTTTTTCAATTTCGCTAGCACAGTGCTCGCTCCAACGCTGCTACAGGTAACGCTCTGAAGTGTTCCGAAGGTATATCCTCAGTGCTCGCTCCAACGCTGCTAGAGGTAACGCTCTGAAGTGTTCCGAAAGTACATCCTGAACCGTCTGCGGTGTAGGCCTTCTGGAACTTAGTTATTCTCTTGTAAAAAGACTCAAATATCTCATGGTTCGTAGAAAGAAAAAAAGCGTTCACATGTAGCACCCTTCCGGTGCCTAGCTGCCATGCCACCCGAAGGAAGCACGAGGGCTGATATACTGCCAGGTTGCCCAAGCCCAGACAGGGGAAGTCGAGTGGCGGAGGTCGGATTCGAACCACGGACCTTCCGGTCAGTAAATTTACGCTCTAACCACTTGGGCCGTCTCGCCCCCTCATGGTTCGTAGACAGCGACATTTATGAAGTAGGGGTGATGCACCACGGCGTGTCACCCAAGATCTGGCTAGCCTGTACTGCTGCTTCATCCGCATGTGTTTACCTGATTGTAAAGTCCTTGACAAGGATGGCCGAAACGTTGGGACCGCGATATCATAATTAACAACTTCTATTTTTATTTGTAAATTTACTAATCGCACTCCACAGGGCTCAAAACCTTTTTCACAAAAGCAGGATGAACTTTGGTCCAGAAGGTTTAAACCAGGCGTTCTGTTGGTCAACGCCAGGTACTTGGCTTTTGACCAAGTCCTACTGTAAAAATCAGTGATCGGAAAACTGCGCTATACTATGGCGCCCCGAAAAATGGCTGTCCCCCTCCGGACGTGGTGGCCAAGATTTGTTGCTGAAATGATCCGATGGGCTATACCGGCTGAAGTTCAGCTCTCCAGAGTTCAGTAACCCCGAAAGACCAGAGACCAACCACCATTCCATTTACGGCAACATGGGAGGGCAACACTATTAATTCATGTGAACATCTCGCGTTATTTGAATAACACCCTATAATGGAAATGGACTCAGTGGTGGCTTGCCACAAATACTCGATGTGCCCACACCTCCAAAACTTATTCAAACAATATGGAAAGAAACAGAGGACATTAGCGCCATCTATTGCAACGTTTACAGTGAAACACAGCAAGGGTCACGGGACACAATTCTAGAAAGCGGGCCATATCGAAAACACCCGTGCTCCCCGCTATCTCTTTCACAATGTCCTGTTAGGTCACACATTGTCCATCTCACAGTTTGTGTCACACTGGCGGACGTGCCGTAAACGATACTAGTCTTGATATATGATTATCCATTAGGTATACCACATGACCGAGACACCATACTTGATGGTGCTGGACGTTTCCCACGACTGGAATATCTGCTTCACAACCGGACATTTGTTTTCTAAACGCTTCATTACGAAATTGTCGACGTCATCTGGTAACATCAACGCTTCTGAGACAGTTGTGTTTAAAAACCTGAAGATGTCGCAGAACATCTTCCCGCAGAGGCCATATCTTGCAACCATAGATCAACATAGCGCTTCCTGTAGTCTGGAAACGTTGAGACCCAGCGATGTTTTCGATAGCACAATTGAAACAGCTTCGCAAGTGTGGATGAGGCTTTCGAGATTTGTGCACTAATTTCGAACACAACTTCCAGTGACTTTCCTTGCACTACAAGCAGTACGTTCTGAGAATGAATTTAGTAGTTACAACGCACATACCGACGGATGGTATGGTGATCAATTTGCTGTGTTTGAGCTCCGCATCGTCCTTGAAGAGTGGAATGATATCGTTTGCACAACGTCCGCATCAGCAGCGAGTGTTCAATAGCAAGGAACCATTGCGTTCCTTGACTGCTTCGATGACAAGACCCGTCAGAAGAACTGCGAGCAAGTCACGTGGAGTAAGCTGCAGACACCCACTACTTTTCGCTGCTTACGTTTCCTCGGCCTCTTAGACCCGCCAAGCACCCCCGATCTGTACAGACAATCGTTTTTACCTGGTTCAATTCAACTTATCAGCTATAAACCGTTAGGGCTGCTACACGTTCGATCACCGGAGAGTGATCTGATCTAAAGCTGTCAGGTTGTTGTGGTGGTCGGGCTTGTGTACTGCAACGATCTCGCGGGCTATAGTGACAGGAACACGGCTCCCAAAGCTTCAGCCATGCCAGGAAAGTCAAAGGGGAGCAGCCCAAGGAAGAATAGCAAGTCCCCGTACTGCGACGAACCGTATTAGACTTTTGAGTCACAGGCTGGGGCTGAGTTCCCTGAACAAAAAGCGACATTCTCTAACTACCATGTGGGTCAGACCTTTGAGTCCAAGGCTCATTTAGGGGTACCTCATTCAAGCCCCTTTCTTTGGTTTGGGCAACCGGGAAGTATAGTTTCCTATTGCAGCTCTTCTCTATCCCAGAAGGAGCGGGTCTCCTCCGGTGGCTGACGGTTAAGTATCAGACTGGGTTCACGGTTGCTTTGCAGATAGTGACCACCAGATTACGCGATGCAAACTTTTACGGTATAATTCGTACTGGTCAGAAACAGTTCACCATCAGCATATAACTGGAGGAGTCACTCTTTATTGCATATGCGACGGACATATATTCAAAAATTACAGTGTCAATGTTTCTTGCTTGAAGACTGAGTCCCGATAACTCTCGATGAAAAGGGTTAGAACTGCAGTCTGTTGGAGCGTATGCCGACACTATACGCAGGCACCGTTTTTGTCGAGAGGTGATGAGTTTGATGGGCTTGATAAACGATCGTCGCGAAGACGATTGTTCACGAGAATCCAATCCAGCTCTGGTGCTGAGTGTGACTCCTACAATATATATTCCACGAGTCATCGCTTCTTGATCACTGGACACATGAAGACAGAAATGAGGAACGGGTGAATTCGTCCTTGACGCTTTGCGAAGCGTGACCACGCGTGTTTCAGGGACACGGTGTACATCAACTTTGAGAGAATAAAAGAACTCGGCAAGCATTGCCTGTCTGCCAATTGGTTAAAAGTACGAACTTCGAAAATTCCAACATAGAAAATATCTCGTGGATTTAGCAAGGTGGTATTCGGTGCATCGTTAATATACAGTGGGATGCATAATGCACACCGGTCAGATAAATGTAATAAAATAGTAATAATCGTTCAGCTGTAACACCCTTCCGGTGCCTAGCTGCCATGCCACCCGGAAGAAGCACGAGGGCTGGGATACTGTCAGGTCGCCCAGGCCTAGACAGGGGAAGTCGAGTGGCAGAGGTCGGGTTCGAACCACGGACCTTCCGGTCAGTGAATTCGCGCTCTAACCACTTGAGCCATCTCGCCCCCAATAAATGACAATCAAATGACCCAGAAACGTTTGCTTGTGGTGGAACGAAGTTGGGGAGGACATCGGTGGGCAAAGAACTGTGCAGGCAAATGCCACTTTCCGGTTTCCCACTCCGATGAAAGGAGTTTAGTTGAGGTATCCCACTTTGAGCCTTTGACCCAAAAATCTGACACATGAGGGGGTGTAAGGTTTTGTTCGAAGACCTTGCTTCTATCCTCTGACAAAAAGTCTGACCCACGAGAGCGCATGGAGTAAGGCATTACTGTCTCACTTCTAGTGTAGCTGCGCACAGCGGGTGCCTTTTGAACAGCACCAGACTCTTTGGTTTTTAAAGTATTTCGACA